GTTTCCCCCCCAAATATATAGGATTTATTCAGTCATCAGTACAAAACATCCAACAGAAAGCTGCCCCCCCCACTCCCGGGTCCCTCTGCGTCACACCGGGAGGCCGTCCTGCCTGGAAGGCCACGTCCGCTCGGCCCTCAGGCCTCGAACATGGCACAGCTGGCGCAGAGCACTTTCTCGTGGACGTCACTGCAGTCCACGAGCGCGCACAGGGTGCAGGCCATAGTCCCGCAGCTGCCGCAGGTGCGCACGCAGTGCCTGCACAGGGCGCGCTCACACTGGCCGCAGGCCGCTCCGTCCACCGCTCCCGTTCGCACGCAGGAGGAGCAGGCTCTGCGCGCTGCCCCAGGCGCCTCGGCTTCGAAGGCCTGGGCTCCCCTCCGGGTCAGGCGGCCGTCTGGTCCGATCAGCATCTGCCCCCGTGTGGCCCGAGGGGCCTCCATGGGGCCCAGCTTCGGGGACTCTGGCAGATCCACCACTGCACAGCCTTCCTCCCACGCGTGGTCCTTGCAGGCCTTGGCCCCGCGGAACAGGAGCTGCCTGGTCCTCTCGTAGATCTCCCGCGAGTAACCAGTAACGCTCGGAGCACACGCCGGGCGGCCCCGCTTGGGCATCGCCACGGACCAGGGAGTTCTGTTTTCTGTTTTTTTAATATTCCACATGTAAGTGAGATCATACAGTATTTGTCTTTCTCTGTCTGACTTATTTCACTTAGTATAATGTCTCAAGGTCCATCCATGTTGTTGCAAATGGGAAGATTTCCTTCCTTTTTTATGGCTGAATAATATCCGTGTGTGTGTGTGTGTGTGAACATTTGTGCTTCTATGTTCAGCAACTATATGAGTACCAGAGAGCCCTGATGTCAAGAATTTGGTCTTTCTGTTACATAATGTATTCTAATTTGTGGGGTCAGGAAAAAATGAATGTACTGTGTGCGCACTTGGTCCATTCTGGGGTTGTCCATTGTGACCTACCTGCCAGCCCCCGAGCAAGATGAGACCAACCTTGGCACATCTTGAGTTCCTCAGTAGTCCATCCAATGAGAACACACTTGTTGGTGAATGACAACTTGGCTCAGACCCCAGGCCTCCCAGCAACTTCCAATCCTGGTGGGAGGAGACAGGAACAAGCAGCTAGGACTCTGGAAGACTTGCCATTCACCTGCAAAGGTCTTTGGGTCCCTGGATCTTCCATAGGCCCCTCCCCACTAACTCCATCCTGCTCTTCCCTGCTCTGGGTGAACTGATGTCACCAAGCCATCCTCTCCCACCTTTATGCCAGGTGTCTACTCAGGGGCAGGGATCTATAAGATCACCATGAAAATCACATGGTAGGCACACAACATGAATAATTGACATGATTGACATTGACCCAAGTGGAACTGAATCCATAATAATAAAAGGGTAATATGCTAATTAGACCGGATGTTTAGATGTCCTTCCAGATGAAGCCAGGGCCGGAGGAAAGCCCAGGTGCCAGGTGCCTGCTGGTGGCCAGAGTGAAGCCCGGGTTCCCGGTGCCAGAGGGAAGCCAGTGCTGGCAGACAGGGAAAGGAAGGCCTACTCTTGCACAAATTTCGTGCATCGGGCCTCTAGTTAATATATAATTGTGAGTCTGGGGGTCAAGTGTGAAGGTGTGTGGTTCAGGGACCAGTGTATGATGCTTTCATGTCTCTGTCCACCCACCATGTGGGTGAACCCACTGTATCCATTCAACACTCATGTCTGGCACCGACTCAGTGCCCAGCTCCATACTGGGTACCAAGCTGAGCCAGAGGGAGCAGTTCTATCCCTTTTATCCCTTGAATGGGCCGTTGCCGGAGACCGGTCCATCCTTGCTGCTTGACGCAGTCGCTGCAGGAAAGAGGCATCTGCACAGCATGTGTTTCAGTGGACCTGGCGTATGTAGCATACTGTTTTTAATATGTTTGCTCCCTTTAGCGCCATGTGTTTTAACCAAGGTCACCTCTCCGAGAAAAGTTGTTTCCCCAGGTGGGGATCTTTCCCTGAGGTTAGGGAGGGGATACAACCCCTTAATTAAGTGCCAGGCGGATAATTAAGCTACATGGTCTTTACTCCCTGGAATGGAGATGAGAAACACCTGGTATAAATACGGATGTAATAAGACAATAAACGTCAGATCCTCATCAGTTCCTGACCAGAACTCCGACCAGAACTTTGGCTGGAGATCCTGGCTATAGGTCCTGACTAGGCTGCTGACCAACTGAAGGCTGTCTTCGTGTCATTCCTTCTTCGCCGACTCCGTCCACACCTTTGGGGACCCCTGGACCTGCTGGGATTGGACCCCAGCAGGCCGTGTGTATACACCCCTGAGAGAGAATAAGGAAAGGTGGAGAACTAGATTACAGTAAACTAAAACTTACCTGTTGAACCACAGGTGTTCCTTGTGTCACTCTCTCTGCTTGCCCCATAAAGATGGAGCCAGGGAATTACTGAGGTTGGGAAGCTGTGGGTGGAAGAAGGAAGAGAGAAGGAAAGAGAGGTAAAGGCAGGGGCAATCAATCAGCTCTAGTCCTGCATGCCAAGAATGTGTTTGTGTGATGGTGGTGGTAAGCTTCCAAAATGAAAACAGTCTCTTACACTTTATAGAACACTTTACAGTTTAAGAAACATTCTCATACATCCTTCATCTTCAACCTCAGAAATAAAGCAGACAGATGCTTCTCCCATTGTACACATGAGGCCCAGGGAAATTAGGGGTTATGCTCAGGGGGAGGCCATGGAGGTGTAGCTAGGTCTGGAGCCCAGAACTCAGCTCTTGGCAGCTGTGCCATTGGCTTCCCTCAAAAGGAACAAAAGCCCGGCCAGTGTATCTCAGCAGTTGGGCGTCAGACTAAGAACCAGGAGGTCATGGTTTGATTCCCGGTCAGGACACATGCCCAGGTTTCAGACTCGATCCCCAGTGTGGGGCATGCA